CCTGCTCGTGGGCACCCCCTTGGCCAGTTGCCTCTGCTGACCTGCCCTCAGGTCCCGGGCGAAGGAGCTCAGCCATGTTTCCAGCGTGTAGCTGAGTGGCATCTTCAGCGCACGCTCTGGAGTTAAGAAGGTGAAGGTTTTGATTTGGGGTGCCCCTCAGCAGAGATCCACCACCAGCACCCGCTGCACCCTTCTGCAGCTTTTGGCGTGCGTGATTGGGGTGGTTTCTCCCCATGAGCCCCACTCATCGGCTTCATCCGCTGCCAGGACTGTGTTGGTTGGTACATAGGAGGGAACACGGGTAAGCGATGCCTCGTTGCCACAAGTTACAGAGACCATGGTGCCTCCTCCTCCTCACTGCTGTCTTTGCTGTCGATGTGCTGCTTGTCCTTGGAGGTCAATGCCACGGGGCCCTAATATTTCTTCTTGCAACACCTCTGATAACGCTCTATTTCTCATTCCCTCTCTCTAATAGAGGGTGATGTACCACCTTCCTCTTGCAGCTCCTCCACTCACTGCCCGAGTGACTCCACCGGATTTTGTCTTGGGCAAGTGGAGCTTGCACCCTCCTCCACCCAGGAGCAAGCCCTCCGCCCCAGCAGCAGCTTCCCTGGAAGGAAGCTTTGGATGGCCACCTCCATTCACCCCAGGCTTTCCTGGCTATGTTGGATGGTTCCTGGTTGTTGTGCAGGGCAGACACTGAACCAGTTGGTGTTTCCAAACTGTTAATTCAAAGAGTTGGGTGTTAGCGGTGAGGCCGGTGGCTGTCCTGTCCTGCCCTGGTTGGCATGCCGATGGTGCTCCTGATCCTGGGAAGTCTCACCCACTCCATCGGGACAAATGCTGCATGCTGGTTTGGGGTTAAAACGCTTTGGGAAAGCAGTAGGCAGAGCAGCTTCCCATGGCAAATGACTTCAGTAAAAAAAAGAAATGGAGAATATATATTTTTGTAAATTTTTAATGATGTACATGTGTTTTTGAAGGAAAAACACGAGTTAAAAAGCCTGGCTATTTAAAATTAATTTTATGAGTCTTTTTTTTTGAAGGAAATTAATCTTTTCTATAGAATCTCTGATTTCAAAAGAATTATTTCTTTCCAGTTAATTTTTTACTGTAAAATTTCCAAGTGTTCCCACGATGGCGTGTGACCAGGAGGACCTTGCAGGTTCTCCCCGTGGGTCCTCAGCTCCCATGAGCACCGTGACAGTGGTCCTGGTGGTGGTGACAACTCCGGTGGGGTTGGGGACCTTCTCCATCCCCCAGGCAGCAGAGGAGGAATCGGGAAGGAGCAGGTGGGCGAGGGTCACAGCGAGCAGCGACGGTCAGCCCACGGGCTGCCCATAGATGGGGGAAACGTCTTTAAACTGGTCAGCCAATATTTATGAAGATATTTATTTATTTTTGCCATTGGTTTCCATTTCCTGGAGGTCATGGGGGCTTGTTAAATGTCTGTGCCCAGAGTCAGGCTCTGGGAATGGGGGTGATTTACTGGAATTTTCTGTGCTTTTGCTTCTGTCCAAGATTTTGGGGTGGGTGCTGCCGAGGTGTTTGCGTTAGGTGGGGTTGAATCCGGCGGTGAGAAGCGATGGTTGCTGTTTCTTTTCATGAGACAGCTGCTGTCCTGCTGGCTAGTCTCACCTTTTTTTGAGGGAAGCTGCCTGGTGGGTATTTAGCTTCTGTCCTAATCCCTCTGAAGAGATTGCTTTGGTTCTTAGGAATGGGTGCTGGGGATAAAGCCTCTGAAAAAAATCGCTGCTTCCACTTGCTTTCTAGGGCTTGAGTTTATAATAAATAGAAAGGTTACATTAAAAGTGCCTACGATTTCTGCGATTCCTCCTCTAGCAGAACGTGCCCTGGCACCGGTGTTGTCCAGTAGCAAGATCCCCTTGGAAGTGTTAATCGTTCTCAGTGATGAATCTCGCTGCTTTCTGCTGTAGCTGTATGTTATCTGCTCACAAGCAGACGCGCTGAAGCTGCCGGACTTGCAGCCAGTTCCAGTTCTCTCCTGCGCATCTCACGCTGCCTCCGTTGTGATTTATGGGCAGTGGTGGCAGGAGACCGGGCAGCAAATGTGCCCCATCCCCTGCGGATACGTGCGTGCGGAGCGTGGCCCTGCCAGCTGCGCTTTGCCCGGGCTGGACCCCAACTGTGGCTGCTCCTATAGGCAATGATGTATAGAAACCCTGTGTTTGAGATGGTCTATTCTTGGCTCTTACTTGGGATGTCTCCTGGGTTCCTGTTCCTCCTCCCTCCTCCTCTTCCTGCCTTCAGGGGAGACACAAAGCACCTCTGTCACCTGCTCCCTGGGAGAACATCTGGAAAAGCTGCATTAAATGTGCTAAAAGGCCATTAAGACGGGAGGACAACAAGGCAAGGTGGTCCTGAGGAGCAGGGTTAGCTTTTCCCCACTCCAGTCCCTGGGATTTAGCGATCTGGAGCTAAGCTTGACGGAGTTTTGAGGGATTGTCTTTGGTCACAGCTTCAGCAAGAAGACTCGTTATCAGGTAGCTCTGAGAAGCACAGGGTCGTACCAGTACACAGAAATCGTGAGCTCTCAGGTACTTTAAGAAATAGATTGCTAATTATTTATGTTAATGTTCAGGAAAGGAACTTTCTCTTCGTCCTTTGGTTTCTTTTATACCTAAAGGAATAAGCTTTATAATTTATTCCAGGCTTTGCTAGAACAAAAGTTATCAAGCATTTATCACAAATTTGGCCTCTGTCTCTGGGAACAGATGTCAGTCAGAGCTTGTTAGTGGAGGTGGTGCTACAGAAAGCAGCGTTTAATCAAGTTATCGTGGAAGTGAGGAACGAGCACAGCAGTCCTGAGCACTGCTGGGCTGGCAGGATGGGTGCCCAGGTCCACAGCACCACAGAAGCAAGAATGGTTTGATGGTTGACCGTCCTGCTCACAGGAGGAACTTATTTTGTTGCACTGAAACAGTTGATGTTCTACCAAAGACAACATCCTAATCCTATCAAATCTGTGTTTCTGTACAATCCAGTAAGATACAAAAAGGCTGCGGATCAATCCATTTATTCTTCTTTATGAGATTATCTCCTAAAAATCTTCTTTTTGCTGTTTTTTTACCTTTCACAGCAGATTTCCTTTTCCAACACCAGCTTGCCCATCACCTCTGCTTTGTTCTCAGCAGTTCGCTGTGCAGCCAGCGATGCTCCAGCAGGATTGTCAGGACACGCTTGTCAGCCAGCTTCTTTGATCTCTCCATTTCTCTTATTTTTAAAGATAATTTTTGACTTGTTCTGGCCTAACTCACGGTGGCTTCTGCGAGCTTTCGGTGGGGGAAAAAGTAAACCAGAAAGATGGCACATAGGCAAATGTCATTAAGTTAATTAAGGCCTTTCCCTCACTGGGGCATTTTTCCACGCCTGTCTGTGGATGGTTTAAGGGGACAGAGTGCTGAGCAGCTGTAAATTAGCTTTGGTTTCGTAGGGAGAAAAGGCACCACCTCCACCCTGGCATCGCTTCCCCCGCCGAGCCGCTTTGCTGGGCTCCAGCTGCCGAAAGCTGCCGCTCGGCTCTTCCCTCGTGGTTTGTGGGCACCAGCTTTCTGCTGGTGGGTCCTTCGGAGCCATGAGACGCTGTGTGCCAGGGCTCCTGGGATGGATGCTGACTCCATAACACTTCTAGCACCCCGGGGCCCTCCTTCCCCTGGTTCCCCTGTTTGGACAGCTGTGGCTGAGCGCACGGTGGGGGAAGGCTGCAGCATCCAGCCCTCCCCGCTTCCACGAGTGCGGGATGCGCCCTGGATGCCCACCTGGATCTCCTCAACACCCGCCTCATTTACCTGCAGGGCTCAAACGTGGATTATTAGACCTAGAGCTACCACCTCAACCCCTTGGTCTTGTGTTTCTTCCACCAAAAGTGGCTTTGTTCAGGATGCAGCTGTATTTCTTTATTTATTTTTTTACTCTCTAGGCAGAATCTAGCGAGGGTTATTTTGTTTTTCAAGAGTGGCTGATTCACGGGCAGATGTAGTGGTGGCAGCTCAGCTGTATGGGCACGGATGGTTTGCACGATTCAGCTGTGACTGGATACAACCCATGGACCAGCTCTCCAGCCACAGGAGGTGATGGGCTGCAGGGTCCCCTGCGTGGGTTAGATAGGGGATCACAGTACCAGTGATGCTGGAATTAATGAGTGACTTGGGGTTTTGACTAGTGGGGAGGGGGTTGTTGCCATACCTTGGGCAGGCTGTTTTTAGCATTTACCTCGTAGGAAGACAAGACTGGAATGAAGACCTCCAGTCACTGGAATGTTTACTGGCACCATGGGACCAGTCAACAGTGTCACCCATTTGCTGCCATCTTCTCTTTGAATTTAGAAATAAACCAACGAGCGTATCAAGCACTCTCCTCTCAGCTCATCCCAGGAACCAGGGCTCTGCCTGATGACAGCACAAATCCATCTTCACTCACTGGAGACTAATTGTGCTGTTAGTAGCAACATCCGAGGTGGATGTTTAATTGTGATTATCTTTTGACTTGAAGCGTGTGCTATTCCCAGACTGCAGAGTTTTATAAGCGGGCAATTAAGCTGTGAAGATGGAGGGAAGGGAGAAGAGGAATGAAATCGTTGGCATGGGTGCAGAAGATTAAACTGGAAGTCTCTGCGGGAGATGGTTCTTGGTTTAAATTGTCTCCTGTTGCTTATGCTCAAACTGCATTGACAGAGCTGATGTAATGTGAATTTTCAGGTGGTGAAAATGCAGGAACAGGTGTCTTGTAGAATAGATACTCTGCTCCTCAGGTCCTGGCTTACTGCTGCCTGGCTTACCGTCCAACATCTCAGCATGCTTTTCTCCTGATCTCCAGCACCTCCTGCTGATGGAGTCTGGCCCTTTCCGCACAGCAATGCTGATCCTGCGCTTCCCTGGCCCAGGCTTGGCACTGGCCTTAAGTCAGTCAGTAAGTCAAGGACAAGGTTTTTATCTGAGCGTAGCCGTGCCGAGAGCGCTCCCTGCATGGCCATGGCCATGTCCTCCACTGCTCGGTTTGCTAGGCATCCCACATCATACGTTCTACATAGTAAAACTATACATCTCGCTTGAAATACTCTGCTTTTTAGTCTATTTTTTTATGGAGCTGGCCACTTTGCTGAATGCTCAGCAGCCTGGTATCAGGAAACCAGGCAAAGGGCTCCTTGGCGGGTGCACGCTCCAGGTGCTCTGCACCTCTCGGAGCATCTCTTGCACGGGACATGGTCATGGGACACTGGCTGTGTCCGGCTGCTTAATCCTCAGGGGACAGCCTGAGATTCACTGCCCGAGTCCAACAGCCTCCTTCCAGCTCTGCCCGTGGCCTGTGGCAGCTCTGGAATCCCACTTCAGAGCCACATTTGCAAATCCCTCTTGTTGCTGTGGCTTTCGGGGAAGGGTTGGTGAAACGTCAGGTCATGGTCAAGGTTGGGTCTACACCAGCAGTGCTCTTAGCAGTTGTGGTTAACAAAGTGGAGGCAACTTGTATGTTTGGTACCAGGTGGTCGGGGGCTTGCAGACCCCATGGGTGGGCTGGTTGCTCAGCCACTTCTACCCTGGTAAAACATCCTGGGGACAAACTTAGCAAAAACTTATAATTGCTTATAATCTCTTTAAGTGGTGCCGCCAGTGGGGAGCTGGTGAGAGGGTGTTTGCTCTGGACTAACGGTGTGGTTGGCTTGTGTTAGAGAAGCCCTGTCTCAAACCAAAAATATTTTTGTTGAAGCACCATGGCAAGTGCTGCAGCAGTTAATGAACACAGTTTTGCCAGGCTCTCTGCGGGGTGTCGAGCCTTGCAGGGCCTTTGCTTAAGGTGTTGGGGTCGTCGTGGTTTGTGGACGCTGTGACGATATTTCCTCTTTTGCTGTGCCCTAAAACAGTGAAGCCATTTCATTTTCTCTGCAGAGCACTTAAATATGTAAGACTCATTGTGGTTTGGGGGCTGTATTTCTTGTCAGAGTCACTGCAGGGTATCAGAGGACGTACTCGCACCCTGCTCTATCCATGTTCTCCTCAAATAAAATGCTCTGAACAAAAATTAATTTTGCACACGCAGAGTAAACTGTGTAACTTAGAAACTGCTTCAGATTTTAGGAAACACCAGACCTCAGTACTTGAGGGATTTTTGCATTTATTACAGGGAAAAGCTCTGGCAGGTAATTTCTAGCACAACTGAGGGATTTATTTCCCACTCACTGTCTCCTGAGAAGTGGTGTGTGCTTTTCTAGAAGTACAGGGTGCTGCTTTTTTATGGCCAGAGCCTGTGTGTGAAGGGCCCCAGACGCCAGCAGGTAGTGTGGATTTTCTCCCAGCCCCAGCAAGGCTCAGCAGCTCCGCAGGAACGCGTGAACTGACGCTTCTCAGCGGACGTGAACCGCAGTAGAATCACTCGTATCAAGTTTAAAGCAGTTTGAATATTTGCTGGTTTTACACAACACATCCATGCTTTGGAAAGAGGAATTTGCATCGAATCTCAATTTTTTTTTTTCCCCCTCTCTCCCCTTTTACACTTAGGATTCTAGCGACTGCTGGGACTGATTTTGACCTGCGGACCCTGAGAGCCGTCCGAGTGCTACGACCCCTGAAGCTTGTGTCGGGAATCCCAAGTGAGTGTCGTGACAATGTCATCTGCGCAGCCAGGGCTGCTCTATAGCTTTTGGGGTGTTAGATGCTTTCCTGAGCAATATTTTCTTCCCCTGCTTCTTTGGGGTCTGTGGCTCCTGCCTTTGCCAGGGTTCCGATTCTCTGTCGCCTGGTTTTGCATACAGCCAGCTGATTGCAGCACTGCGCTCCCAAATCTGCAGATGAGCAGCAGGGATTTGTCCTAGGACACCTTTGGGGTTGAATTAATGCTCTGGGGTGTGAAGACTCGAGACCCAAATTTTGCAGCTTTCAGGCCCCAGCCCTGAGCTTGGACCTTCTGACAGTTTTTACCAGCTGAGCGTCTTGCACTGGGGATTTTACCCCTGTAATAAGGGAGGAAAACAAAGGGAAAGAGCAGATAGGACTTGGCTTTGCCTACTCAGTGGGCAAGTTGAAATATTTTACATGCTAACGGGAGGGGTCTGACTCCAGTGAGGAGCTGCATCATGCCTTGCTGATGCCCTGAACCCATCCAAGTCCCCACACCATTGCTCACCACCTTTTTATTTGTTGCTGTTCACCAGCTGCTCTACCCGCTGGCGGGGGATCGCTGTCAGGAGTTCGTTCCATTTCGGAATGTGGAACAGAGATATTTTTTTATTTTTTCCCTCCAGCAAGAGCCAGTGAAAGGGAACGGCTGCTCTGTGGAATGCTTTCTGCATTAACCCCTCGGCAGCCAGGCAGCCCCCTCTCTCCTGGGCGGTGGGTTGGGGTGTCAGCTCTGCCACCCCCCCGGCTGCTGCAGGACTGAAATGTTGGTGTCGTTGAAATTCAGCAAGAGGTTATGCTTTGCAATAACAGCACCAATGTTTCCTGAAATCAGCATCCTTTCATGGGCAGGGCTTGAAGCTGAATTCCCACACAGGAGAGGTCCTTGGCCAGACTTTGGGAAAAGTGTCAGTTATTAACAAGTTCTCTAACAAGGAGATGCTGCAGGTTGTTTTCTCATGGGCTTCTTGCCTGTGCAAGGCGATGAGGTGTTGGGGTAGTGACAGACTAAGGATGTCAGAGAAGTAAGGTGGCCCCTCAGGGGTATCCCTGTCCTGGTGTAGGTCGTGTGTTTCACCCGGGGGACACTTGCTCCCCACCCTGTGATGAGTCCTGGACCAGCATCTTTTCCCACAGAGCATTATTTGCTCTCATGGTTTTAGTGATGCTGTGGAAGTCGTGCTGTTTTTTTGTTTTTTTTTTTTCCTGTAGTAAATGTACAACCTTGAGGCGTATTCATACACAAGCATGGCACATGCTTTTCTTCTACACTCAGTATTTTTCCCATCCAAGAGATCTTCACGCTTTTTTTGATGCATGCACCCTCATTGACCTCCATGGTGCTGTACAAGGTGGCAAGACAACGACGATCTCATTCTCCATCCCTTAGGACAGGCCACCAAGGTGGCTTTCAGCTGCTGCTTATCGCTGAAGTTTGTTTTGTTATGCATGACATTATCTGACACCTCCATCTCTCTGGCTTCTCTTACCTTATCTCCTCTGGTTTTAACTGAAAATGAGTTTTAGTGCCACTGAAAAAGCTATGGATGGATACCCCCGGAGACAGGGTTTTGTTTCTCCAGAGCAGGGTGCGATGGGCACAGTGGCATTGTGGCTGTTCTCTGCTTTGCGAAGGGAGAGGCAGCTCCCACGGTGCCCATCGCTCCCTGCCTTCCCCAGGACAGGGGGTACCACAGTCGTGCCCAGCTCTGCTGCTCTGCCCACACTGCTGCATGAGCTGCCTTCAGGA